GAGCGCGACGCTTTCGGATGCTTCTTTGCCGTTGCATCCCATCCCGCATGCTGTGGGGCAAGGTCGACAGACTCTGGCGTGGACGTGCTGTGTGCTTTGAGGCGTTCTTCTAGGCCGCATTGATGTCCCCTACATGGTGTGCTCGCCACCGCGCCGTTCTGGGCATTCGTCGCGTTTTCTTCGCTCCGCCTCCCCCTCTTCCTGCGTCCTCATTTTCCACTGGCTTGGATTTGAAAGCGTGCCAGTTTGGTAGTTGGATCATCTCAGGCATACGACACTTCGATGGTTGCCCGTGTCAGCGAAACTGGTTCATTTGTTGTTTTCTTCAGGTCGTGCGCACGCTACCGGGAAACGCAATGTGTCAATGCCGCGAGGTCGTAAAAGGGGGTCCCTGGACCGACTTGTGGGGTGCTCGGGCCGCCTGGGCTCCGGCGAACATTGGGCCGTCTTGCGACTGTCTTCGATCGGTCCTGGCTTGTCTTGGGGTGTCGTTTTCCGTGTTGGGCCTTCTGAGGGGACCGCTTGCGCCTCCCCTGGGACGGCTCGAAGACCGCCTGGAGGCCCACCGTCACGGACAGCAGGCCCAACAGCTCGCTCTGTCTGCCATGGGCCTGCTGGACAGTCCCTCGGTGGCCTCTTCGGGGCCTGCTCAGGGGGAAGGATCACGATGACTATGACCAAGATGTCGCGGGATCTAGTCGACGCCGATCTTTGTCACTGTCCATGCCGGACGCCGCCCATTCGCGAGGGTGATCCACGGATCGACGATGACCAAGATGGACGATCACCAAGATCGGCGCCGACGTTTCAGCGTTGAGTCTTGGTCATGGTCATCGTTTTTTGTCCCTCCACTGTTGGAGGGTTCTTGTGCGACGTCGTCGGGCCACCTGGGACGGACGTGGTGCAGTCGACGGAGGTCTTTGGGCTGTCTTGGGGCGTCTTGTATCCACCTCTTGGGACAACGATGCGGAAACGAAACGTGGCTGCTCCCGCGGCACCAGTTGGCTCGCTGGGGACCGTTTCTGGTATTCCTGAGCCCCCTGTCGCTTTCCAATGTGGGAATGTGGCTGCCTCGGGGTGGTGCAGTACCGCACACGCCTGAGATTCCCAATGCCTCGGCGAGGCGAGTGACACGTGCACACGCCATGCCATACGAGAGAGTCCGTGCAAATGCGTCCTTGTGTATGTATGTATGTATGTATGTATGTATGTATGTATGCATGCATGCATGCATGCATGCATGCATGCATGCATGTATGTATGTGTGTGTGTGTGTGTATGTGTATGTGTATGTGTATGTGTATGTGTATGTGTATGTGTATGTGTATGTGTATGTGTATGTGTATGTGTATGTGTGTATGTATGTATGTATGTATGTATGTATGCATGCATGCATGCATGTTTATGTATGCATGTATGTATGCATGCATGTATGTATGCATGCATGCATGCATGTATGTATGTATGTATGTATGTATGTATGTATGTATGTATGTATATGTATGCATATGTATATATGTATGTATGTATGTATGTATGTATGTATATATGTATGTATGTATGTATGTATGTATGTATGTATGTATGTATGTATGTATGTATGTATGTATGTATGTGCGTATGTATGTATGCATGCATGTATGCATGCATGCATGCATGTATGCATGTATGTATGTATGTATGTATGTTTATACATATGTATGTACGTATGTATGTATGTATGTATGTATGTATGTATGTATGTATGTATGTATGTATGTATGTGTGTAGGTAGGTAGGTAGGTAGGTAGGTAGGTATGTATGTATGTATGCATGTACGTATGTGTATTTATATATGTGTCCCTGCAGCTCACCGACTTCCTGTCGGTCATGGACGGCCCTTTCGTTTGGAGGCCGCACCTCAAGCATGCTGCTACCTGGTCGTGGATTGGACTACCACCCCGGGCCTCCTCCGCATCACCCGGTGGTACAACGTTGCTCATCGCCTTCGTGGTGCTCTTCTTCTTCCTGGGCGTCGACCTGGTCAAGTGGCGCGTCCTCCCCTGCAGTGCTTGAGGCTGGTGTTCGCGAAGTGCCGTTGACGGCAACACCATTTCGTTCGCCTTCCGGGTCTTCGCCCTCGGTCCCTGTCCATGGCGTACCTTTTCCTGCACATCCACTTCGGCACCGCCTGTTCCCCGGGCCCCGCCCGCTCTGGCCGCCTGAGGCCCCGCCTTCCTGTGCCCTGTCTCCTTAATGAAAGCTGTGCGTAGTCCGCCTAGCTTTTAGCGGGAGAGGTTCGCTCTCGCCCCGCAGATCAAAGTGTGTGTGTGTGTGTGTGTGTGTGTTTTTGTGTGTGTGTGTGTGTGTTTTTGTTGTTGTGGTGTTTGTGGGTGTGTGGGGCCTCTGCCGCCTCGGCTGCTCCGCGCTTCTGCAGCGCGCGGACCACGCGGACCCACTCCCCCCCGGGGCCAAGGCTCCTCTTCGCCTCCGCCCTCGCCTCCAGCCCTGGCTGGGCACTGGCTTCGCGACCCGGCCCCTGCCCGCCGCCCGCCTCTCGGCGCCTCCCTGCGCGCGCCCCTCGCCCCCCCCCCCCCCTCCCACCCCCCGCCGGCGCCCGGATTCCTTGCTGGGGCTCCGCGCTCTTGGCGTTCTCTCCCGGGCCCTCTCGCTTCGGGGCCGTTGTCCACCAAAAGTGCACCAGTTCGGCGCGCCTCGCTCCCCAGCGGCCCTCGCGGCGGGCCTGCCCTCTGGCCCTCCAGGCGTGCCCCCCGCCCTCGCCCCGGGGCCCTGGGCTGGTCTTGCCGCCCATGCCCCTCCCCGCCCCCGCCTCCGCCTTGCCCAGCTTTCAGGCCAACCCCTCACCTGGAGGTGGTTTCGCACTGCACCGCCTCGGCCGCTCGCTGCCCTGGCAGCTTACTCGGGTCACGTGTGTCTTCGGTAACCCGCCAGACCGGGGCTCCTTTCCGCGTTCGCTTTCGTCACCAGCCCCAGCTAGGCGCTCCTCGCTACAGCCCGCTGCCTTGCAGCATGCCTCGGCGTCCCCCCCGCCCCCCAGCCGCCAGCCCGCCGCCGCTGGTCCCCGCCCCCCCCCGCGCCTGGCCCCGCTTTGAGCGGGCCCGGCTTCCCCCTCCCTCATGCCGCCGCCCGGCGCTTCCTTCCTCCCCCTGCATGGTGGCTTAGGTCGGGTTTCGTGCGTGCACCAATACCCTGTCGCCAGCGCAGTGACTCTACCTAACCGCCGACGCACACATCTGTATGTATGTATGTATGTATGTATGTATGTATGTAGATCTGTATGTATGAATATATATATATATATATGCATGTATGTCTGTACGTACGTATGTATGTATGTATGCTTGTATGTATGTATGTATGCATGCATGTATGTATGTATGTATGTATGTTTGTATGAGTGTATGTATGCATGCACGTAGGTAGGTATGTATGTCTGTATGTATGTATGTATGCATGCATATTTGTATGCATGTGTACCTATCGATTTATATATCTATATATGTATGTATATATGAATGCATGTATGTATGTATGTTTGTATGCATGTATGTATGTATGCATGTATATGTATGTATGCATATGCATGCATGTATGTATGTATGTTTGCATGTACGCATGTGTGTATTTATGTATGTATGCATGTATGTATGTATGTATTTGTGCATGCATGCATGCATGCATGTATGTATGTATGTATGTATGTATGTATGTACATATACATGTATGTATATATGTACGTATGTTTACATGTATGTATGTATGTATGCATGCATGTATGTATGCATGCATGTATGTATGTATGTATGTATTTAGGTATGTATGTATTTAGGTATGTATGCATGCGTGTGTGTATATATATGTATATATGCATGTATGCATGCATGCATGCATGCATGTATGTATGTATGTATGTATGTATGTATGTACGTACGTACGTACGTATGTATGTATGTATGTATGTATGTATGTATGTATGTATGCATGTATGTATGTATGTATGTATGAATGAATGTATGTATGTATGTATATATATGTATACACGTGTGTGTATGTGTGTGTGTCGGGCCGTCGAGGGCGCGCGTCCAGCCACATAAGAGCAACTGACCGCTGCCTGTACCAGCGGGGCCCACATGGGCCACACGGGCCGCTTAGGGGGCCTCTGGGCAAAACCAGAAACACCTGGGCAGGCAATCCGCAGATTGCCGAGCAAAGTGCAGCCGTTCCCCACGGCGGCCAGGGTCGAGGGACGAGAAAAGACATTCATCCCCGACACGCACCCACTGGAGGTGGACTCAATGGCCCATCTCCGCCGCGCTGCCGCGTCGGCACGCGGCGTGCGGAAAAGTGCAAAGAGATGCCGCGCGAGTAAATGCAAATAGCTGACGGGTTTTTGCTTGTGCAGCCGAGACAAGACAAGACTGAGAGACAGGCGGGCTCGGGGCAACCCCAGCGTCGCCGACTGCAGACTAGAGAAGCCCCCCGTGTAGGGATTCTGGCCATTCAAGAGCCTGTCCCGACGGCGAGCTCTCTCCTTGTGCGCTGGGGTGAGACACCGACTCGGAGCAGGCAGGGTCCCCGTGCACACGGGCCTGCTTTCCCGAGAGAAACCCACAGCACCGACACGAGGTGAAAGGAGGGACCGAAACGATTTCGCGCCCCCGATTGTAGAGGACCTCCTGTCCCCGACCCAATTCCGCCGTCCCACCACTCTCCGTCACAGCGATGGTGGCGGCGGCGGCGGCGGCGGCAGGCGGAGCTCGGGAGTCCTCGTGCGGGCCAGGGTCCGCCGTCGGCGTGGCGGCGACGCCGCGCTCCACTCGAACGCGGGAAGGCTCGAGGCGGCGGCAGCAGCAGCGGCGGCCAAAGCCAGGGCCTCGGCGAAAGGCGGGCGAGGAGGGGCAGGGGTAACCCCCTCGGCCTGTGGCCCTCCAACCTGCGGCCCCCGCTGCCGCCGCCCCCTCGCGCGCGTCGCCTCCCTCGCTCGCGCGAACCCTTACGAC